TGAGATTTTAAAAATAATAACAATAAATATACAATTTATACCTTTAATATTAACTTTGTTCAAAAACAAAAATTGTACTTTTTGACAATTGAAATGTATAACCAATTTCATCAATTACCCATGAAAATGGTTAATTAGAATTTAAAAAATAATCATTTATTATACTTTTTCAAAACTGTTGTGTTAACATGTTTTGTATATACTAACTAAATTATGTGAAGTTGACATTTCTCACAATACTTAAAACATTTAAAATAATGAACTTTTGATTAATAGTTTTGTTGTTAGAAATGCGTTGCAAACTAATAGGACATAGATCACTCTTTGGACAATGGTTCGAAGAATGATAAATAAAATTTTTTACCATCATGTTAACCGTATGAATATGATATTAGATTACTATTTACTAAAAAGAACTCAACAAAAATTGAAAGATTATGAAAATTAATTATTAACATAAATCCAAAACCAATACAAATAATAATATTTGGTTTAGTTATCTATTCATTTTAAAACTTTATTTATGATTAAAATGAAAAAATTGAAGTTTCAAGACAAATTTAAAAAAATACAACAGTTATAACCAAATGTTATACATATAACACAAACAATAAACACTCAAACTGTATAACTTAACGATGGTATGAATAAACTTCAATACTTTAAAAACCCTCAATGTTTTTAAACAAATTTCTAAAAACAATCAATCAATAATTGCACAATCCAAATCCGTCATTCCCTTGTGATTTTTTTGACAGTTAATACATTGAAACATAAAAATAATTAAATAATATGTGTAAAAACTTTAAAATGTTTATACCTTTTAAAAGCTTCTCTTGTAAAAATCAACTTTGTTGCTTTTTATTATATTTAGACATGTAGTCACTTCAATCAAAAATTGGTTATTACAAACTTCTTGACACGCATCGACAGACACAGAAAATATTTTTTTTTGAAATATTAATTGAATTTGTTGTAATATTTTTATTTATTGAATCTGTAATTATAGCTCTTAGTCATTGAGTTTCTTTACCTCATATTTCATTGTTCTTTCCTTCTCAAGTTTTTTTTCAATAAATCATCTTTTTGAGCAGTCAACATTTTATCAAACTTTTCAACTTGTTTTTTAAAATTACCAAATATTATTTAGTTTACCATCACTTTTTGGAGTTTATCTGCACGTTTTTTCTTCTTGACTTTGGTTTTTTGAGAGGTTATTTTTTTCAAGGACAAGTTGCTCATTCTATGACAAAATATTCAAATTTTCCACAAATTACACCTCCATCTTGATTGTTAACCTGGTGTTGGCAAGACAGCAGTTGTTGTCGAATTTGGGCGCAACGGACAATGAAAAGAGATGTTCCTTCAAACTTGCAGGGTAGAGTCATTGCACTCGTTATATTTACGCTGATTGCTGGTAGCAGTACAGAGGACTGTTTGAGAAGTGATTGAAGGCTGTTTCTAATGAGGTGAACGAGTTGAAGATACCATTCATTCTTATTATAAATAAAGTCACACTATTTTGGGTGCCGGTGCAACAGGAGAAAGTGTAATGAATGCGAAGAACATACGACACCAATGTTGTCATGAAGCAAGTCTTGGTGTATTCAAAAAAACCCTTGAATTTAAAAGGCAATTCTAACATGTCTACGTCGCCGAGCGAAATGGAGACAATGTAATCTTGAGAGGCATCAGAGAGAAGTATGAGAGCCACTCTTTATTGACAATCATTGACTCAGCTTGTGTGGGAACTAAAAGTTCAAAGTGTTTGCACAGAAAATAGAAGATATGAAACACAAGGCTGAGATAACAGGAGAAGTTGAGATTGCGCAGACTTGAAGTTTTTTGCAATTTAAGAGGCAAAGAAAAGCGGCCTTCAGAATTGAAGAACCAGACAAAAAAAACATCGATGTTGCAGTTATTAATGACCCACAATTGATAGAAAATGTGGTGAACAAATGGATAAACATCTTAGTGAGCAGAATGACACAAAACGAGAAGACAAGACTCCTGAAACTTGGGGACGAGCTGTAAAAAGAGTTGTTGGAAATATTTTGAGAAGCAGAAGTTGTCTTTGCTCAGACAAATAATCAAATATATCATTTATGTTCATTGGGTCAAGTGGTGTTGACAAGACAGAGATTGCAAAAACATTTGCAGATGATCTTTTTGACGACAATAACAACAACGTCAGAATTGACACGAGCGAGTACATGAAGTCGCACGGCGTTTCACGACTGATTGAAGCGCCACTGGATAATGTTGGACACGACGAAAGTGGACAACTGACAAATACAGTCATAAAGAATACACACAGCTTTGTTCTGTTTGATGAAGTCGAAAGGGCGCATTAGCAGGTGCTTGATAATTGACATCTCACACAATGGAAAAGAAAAAAACATTTTCAAGCACATGGTCGACTTTTTTACATACACAGTCGTCGACTGTTTGTAATTCATAGCGATTTGTTCAAAAGTTATCAAATCTGTTTTATTTTAGACACATCATTTTCAAATTGTTGTATTTATCTCATTATTTGTCAAATTATTGTTCTTTTGACGTATCCTTCAAGTATCATATAGTCTTGACTTTTTTTGTTGACATATATGAGTATTCTTCTCAGTAGTTTCGGTTCATACTGTTATTTCTATAATATATTGTTATTTTCTATCTATTACCTTATAATAATCAACAGAGAATTTGATTGAGTGTTATTTTTCTCTGTTGATCAATATAGGCTTTAACTATTTTGATTTTTACTTGATATTTCTTGTTCATTTTTACAGTCCTTGTTGTAGAGCCACCTTATTTCTGAATATGTTGACTTCGGCATTTAAGTCGGTGATCTTATTGTTCATCCATCCAAAATCGTATCGTTTTTCTTCTCAATTGTTAGTTGATCAAAATGGATTGTCAAATCATATGCTTTTTCTTTTTGTTTTTTGTGTTGTCTAAGGTATAATCGACATTCTGTAAAGTCTGATTTTTAATTAACAATGTAAAAAATAAACTATACATTTAGTTTTTTTAATAATCAATAGCTTTTTTTTGAAATAATTGTTTTTTATTTTTGACTTTTTAACCAAATTATACATCCAAAAGGGAAAGCAAGAAATGTGAAGATTGTATTTTTTTCCTCTGGCATATCTCCAAGTAATATTAACACAACCGGCAGACCATTTAAATAGTTTATCACACAAGTCTCATTGCTGTGATGTTGTAAAAAGATGAAACTGATTGATCTGAATAACAAAGAAAACGATTGACAACATTTCTTTGAGAATACCAAATGGTAAAAACAAATAAAAATTTACTATGTATTTATGGTTTTTAATTAGCAATGGTCGATACTATGTATTAAATATAAAAATAGATATAGTAAATTTCCTTGTTGTATTTTTGGAATATTGTTAATTAAAAAGCAGACTTTAATTTGCTTTCATCAACATTTTCAACATTATCTGTATTGTAGGCTTTCGATCACAATACATCAAATTGAGACTAAATATAAGCGGTTCCGATATCAAACATGATCTTCTTTTTTCAATGGAAATGAAGTTGATGCATCGGCTAGAAGTTTAAATGATGAGACCTCGGCTTGGGTGTTTTGATTTGATCTTCCATCTTTCTTTTTCCATCAATTTAATCAACGAAATCTTTTCGACTTCAGCGCCAAAAATAGTTAACCACAATCATTGAAGAAACTTTTTTCCACCAAAAGCAAGTTTTATCATTCGCCAAATTTTTCGAATTTTCTCTATTTTGTTGTTTTTTCATTATTATTTTGCAAATTTTTCCGCTAATTTTAACTATTTCGAGTTCTTCATTGGTTTCAGTAATTTTTTTAATTTTGTTCTCGTGGCAATACAAGAGAAGTCGTAGATTTTAGCACACAATTCCATAACCATATTGTTGCTTGAATAAACAGTGTCATTATGCTTCTTTTTGACACGCTGAATATGTTGTGTTATATTTATAACAATCAATATGCATTCTTTTTTAAACAATTATAGTACTGTTGAAATTGGGCAAGTACAGCTATGCCTAATTGATTGTTGGGAAATATAAATTTCTCACTTACAACGCTTATTGCTTTGTCAAGAGCAGCCTTTTTAATTTCTGTATTATTTAATTTGGCATCTATAATGAATTTAAATTTATTGGTATTGTCATTTTTAATTTTTTATAGTGTAAACCATTTCTTTATGTTTGTTTGTTTGTTTCTTTTATTTATTTAATATTTGTTTTATTTATTAGCGATTAATTGTTTTTTCAATATGTTTATTTATAATATATTATTTTTATAATAATTTATAATAATAAATGTGTTATCGTTTATATTTAAATAATTATTAATAAATTATATCTTAAAATAATAAATTTGAGCAGGGAATCAAACCTCAATTGAAAAAGAATTATTTTAAGAAAAGAAAAATGGCATTACATATACAAAAAACCAAGGACCAGATCATAAACAAGGGACCAGACTAAATTAAGCCGTTATATTTTTT